AGGACAAACGCATTTTAATTTTCCAATAGCTCCATCTGCTGTTGTCACTGCACCTTTTTTTCCTACTCCACCAAGAAGTTCCTACACTTAACTTTCAGTTAAACCCATTTTGTTAGCATTTTATTACCGAAACCCATCTGAGAGTTCTGGTACTTCAGTTTGTATTGACTGTAGGACATAAATTCCCCTAATCTTTTAAGAGTTTTTCAAGTCTTAAAGGTACAAACAGGAGGCCTCTAAGACAGGCCTTCTCTTCTAACACAGCTGATGCATGAATGCTAAAGCACTTTGATGTGGCCCCAAGGCTGCAGAAACAGAAATTTAGATCTGCAACTAAATAGACAGTAAAATCTAGTAAAGCTGAGAAAAAAAAAACAACAAACAAACAAAAAAACAAGTCTACTCTGGTCAACAGGCTGTGGCTTCATAATAACGGGTATCATATCTGTGTGTTACTGTCTCTCATTTGATCCAGATCAGGTACAGGCAGAATTGCATTTCTGTCAAATTAGGCAGATGACTTGATAGACAGTTGATGCTGGTTGTATGCTGGCTTCAGGACAGACACCCTTTAGGTCTGCCAGTACAAAGGTAACTAGTCCTTCTGAAGGATTTCAAATGTCAGGGAGAGCACAGCCATTGCTTTGCATTGTGTGCCCAAGAACTTTTTCTGCCCCATGTGGGGAGCCCTTAATCTGGATCACTGACTTGGCTGAGATGGCAGAAGACAGCCAGCACCCCGGCTTTGTTTGTGATGACCTCTCCTGCTAGGGACTGGGCAGGACTCTGAGACCAGGCACTCAGGTACCAAAATGGTCCCTGCATGGAAGTGCTGAGCGACTTATGCCTAGGTGGTGTAAAAGGGGGTTATTCGTGGCAACTGCCAATGCACTGATAGCAGCTGTCATATACTGGTCAGGACAGAGACGTCACCTGTATGTAAGCCCAGGGGAGTAGAAGCCACTCCTGGTACACCTTAATTATAATACACACTCATGTCTCAAGTTGGATAGTAGGACGGGAATCTCGAGACATTACTAGCAGTGTCTGCCAATTGAAATTCGATCCTCACAATTGGCCTAAACATCTACTGAGTCAAAACCTACCGATTTTGACAAAGGTGGACGGGCCACCTTAACTTAACCCGGAAAAGAAACATATAGTTATATGTGTTTGATAAATAGCCCCTGACTGCTCCCAAGCCCACCTTCACTGTCCTGATTTGAGAGGGAAGGGAAGCTCTGGGCTCTGGAATGGAACAGCACTGTAGCACACAGAGGGTGACTGAGTGATTGAGACTTCAGGGCGTGCGTGGGGGGCACAGGTTACATACAGGTGTGAGACACATATGTATGTTAACACACAGCCTTGCCAATCAGCTTCTCACTTCTGTTAGCAAATTCATCTGCCACAGATGAACTGCAACCTGTTGGAAAGGAGGTAAGCCTGTAAAATGGAAAACCAGCTTATTTTCTGGCATCTAAGAGAGAAATGTGGCTTAAAGAAAATAAGCCTTTTTTACAGTTTGTGTTTGTTTAATGGTAATTTCCAGCTTCTGTGGAATTTCATGAATATGGGAAAAAGACTGTAAGAAAACCCAGGTACTTGAATGAGAAACCCATGATTTTTCTTGGCTGCTTTGTCGGTGATACTGCAGCTAGATACAGGATTGGCTGTGTGCAGCAGAAACCAGGCAAACTCAACCTTAAGGTACTATAGAAACCTGTTAGATCCTGTTGTTAATTCCTAGCACCAAAATCAACTGCTGACAGGCCCTCACTCCCCCTTTGCAGGAGTCTTAGAAGTAACAGGCTCTCCAGCCTTACCATATAAAACTAAACCAAGTGAAAGGACAATTTGTCCTTTCCTTCAGGATAAAGATTCCAAATATCGCTTTCCTCCTCATTTTGGATCATATTTAATTCCAGCGGGATCAGAAACTGAAATCATTGTGTTTTTTCAAACAGGGTGTTGAACTGTCTCTGTCTCTCTCCTGCTTGGCTTCACTAACCAATCTTGCTCTGTGCTTGCATCTGTAGGCCACAATTCTCCATCCAGCAGTACTATTTTTCACTTATGTTCTCCATTTGGGATTTCCAATAGTTTCTGCTTTCCTGAATCCGTTGAAAGAAAACATCCTTCACTGTGAGCCAGTTGTGCACTCTCACACCACTGTTCCACGTCATAAAATTTCTTTTCCAGGAGCACTGTGACTCCCTCACCATGACATCAGGCTCTAGAGCAGCATTGCTTCATAGCTCTTTTGTGAACTACTTTGTGAATAACTGATTGCTTGTTTTTGTGCTTTACGCATATTAGAGTGTAATTAAATGCATTAATGTAATACACCAACTTATTACACACAGCAAAGCCACTTCACCAAATAGTGACAGCTTTTGCTCAAGACAGACATGCAATAGAAGCAACATCATCCACCAGGCTGGGGACAGAGTAGCAAATTCAGCCTGAGAGGAGACTGAGAAGGAGGTAATATAGCAGAGTACTGGCAGAAAGTTTTCCTGCCTTTTCAAGAACACCGAAGTGGTCTCCTTGAGGCAAGACGGCATCTGCTATCAGAACAAAGCCACAGGAGTCTCTTTAAGTCTCCTCCATCTTCTCTCTCCATTAACTCGATTTATGAGGGTGCTTTAGGGAGCATTTAAGGATCAGGCTTGGAAGCAGTAATTACTCTGCTGTCACTGGTTTAACGTCTTTACTCTCTACTTTACATATCCCACAGTCTCACCCTGACCTTGTACGTGCTTTAAATGAGGGAGTGAATTCACTGAGCTCAGGCATTTAGAAAGGAAGAAAATTTGGTTGTCTTTTCAGCTGTTGGTCCCTTCACAGCGGCTTCACCTCAGATCAGGGCAGGACAGACTCTGGATCTGCCCCGGATCAGTGACAATTTTATGATTAAACAACACAACAACACAGCCAGTGAAAAGCATGTGGTACCCCATCCATATGAACCAGCCGTGGACAGATAATTTAGCAGCACCTTAGCGAGCTTTGCAGTGGCAAAGACACCTTTCCTTTCCATTTTTTCTTCTGGTCCTTGGTAGACAAATTTTTCAAGGTCATTTGAACACCACAACAGGAGGAGGCTGCAGATATAGGGGGACTGAGTTGGACCACCGACAGGTATGACATTAAGCACAACTAGTTTAATGAACACAGATGGCAGACCACCAAAGCCAACATGTCAGGCCAAATGTAGGAAGGCTTGGCTGTAATACTTTTCTTGACCTCCTTCAGAAAGATGTTCCTTCAGAAAGGCTGTAATACTTTTCTTGACCTCCTTCAGAAAGATGATGTGGCCAACTACTAGGAAAGCATCAAGTCCTCTCCAAAGTTCAGATAAATATAAAAGGACAAAAAATCACAACTGCTGTGGTGTAAGAAGAGGTTTCTGAGATTAAGCAGATCTGTCCTGTGGAAGGTTTTGTAGGTTAGTGCCAGTATTCTAGATTTACACAGTGGTTGGTCAGCCTCATCTTATGGAACGTGCCAAATTCCACTTCTTTCACTGAAGAGACAGGCTGCTATGTTGTATACCAGTTACTATTTCTCTTTGGATTTTTCAAGCTTGCATACCAAGAACTACAACTTCTCTAGACAGCATATAATAAGAACTAGTCTAAAAAAAAAAGTCCAAATAGTTAAAACCATATGCACTGCTTATCTGAGAGCTAAAATTGGAGTGACTGGTACAGCTTGATTCTTCAGGGCAGTTTGATACCAAGGGAGGTCACCACCGTCATTTACCAGCGATCACATCATGTGGTGCTGCAGCTGAGAACCTCCAAGTGCTTTCTTCTTTCTCCAGGCACTATTTTTTTTTCTAGATGTCATTTAAGGCAACTGCTTTATACTCAGGTTACAGTTTCTTCTGAGAAGTAGGATCCCTATGGCCCCCCAGTCCCTTCTTTCACAGCAGGATACCTGCCACTGCATGTGAGAAGCCTCCCTGCTCTGGCCTCATACTCAGCTTCTCAACCTGAAATTCAGGTTCTTGCCACCCAGGAGGAGCACCTGATGGTGAAGTGGTATTTGCCAATATTGGTCTCGCCTTTCTAAACGAGAAAAATTCAAACAATGAGAAATGTTTTTCTTATTCATCATACTAACGTCTTTCACATCTTTCAGTCCTCAGAATGAAGTGCTTGATTTCCTCCCTCACCCTTCTTGGGATCGGTGCCTCCAAAACATGCCTGTCCAAGCTTCAACCAAACCAGGAATCCAGCCACCACTGCAGTCTAGGTTAGCTTGTACTGTCACTCATGACACATGTATTTGCATAGGAGTGATGACAGAATCAAATCTGACAAAATTTCTATCAGAAATCTTGGCAAGGAATAGCAGCTGCCAAACATAATTTTGGGAACATATAGGAAAGACATAAACAACATCAGTCTGGGGAGGTAACATCCTTCTTAGCAGCCAGCAGCAGTCAGGCCGACGCTGGAGCTGCTGACAGCTGACTGCAGAGCTCCTTGCAAAGATCGGAAATACAGAGCCAAGGGATGCCAGCCCGGGGGTATCGGCGCACAACTCACACAACCCAGTCGCATTTCTTTAAGTTCGAATTCCTGGACTATCTGTAAAAATAATGTGTTGGTTGGTTGGTTTGGTTTTGTTGTTTTTGTTTTTTTTTTTTTTCATTTAGAGCAAGCTTCCGGTACTTGTAGCAAAACACTTGAGCACATTTCGGGAGTCACAGCTGTGATGGAGCCAAATAAACCTGAACAGCGTCTCTACTACGGGCAGGGCAAAGCCTTTGGAATTTTAAGGCAATTCTATCACTTTACAGCGTGCAGCTCACTTTTTTCATTACTTTGGACTACATTTTTTTGTATATAAGCTTTTCCTTTCTAACAGCAACCGGTCGAGGAAGACTTTCCGCTACAACACGAGCAACGCCGTTACAGCTGTCTCTTATAC